GATATCCTTCGCCTTCGATTTCATAAAGCATTAATTTTACATAGAATTATAATAAAATCAAAATGCATGAGATGCCGAAATATTCTACACTTTATAACGTGCCAAGGAATGTAATTAGAGTAAGATATATCTATATATATATATATATATATATATGTATATATCCTTGATTCACTTGCTATTTTGCGATCGTTAATTTTGTCCGCTATGTTAGACTTCGAGTTCGACACTCAAGCCGATCATTTAGCTTTTTAGATAAAGATTTTCTGACGATCATACATTCACGAGTCTAAAAGATCACACTTAAAGAAAAAGACATAATGGTAGCAATTGTAAAGGTGACACAACTATACAAATTTTATATCTAGAACAAATATACTCTCTAAATTCTTTGAAGTGGAGTCTTACTTTAAAGAATGATAATCGACCCAATTTTAAAAAAGAGTGACTCAATTTTCAATATTTAAGAGTGAGATTTCAGTGATTCACTCTAAAAGTTTTAGAGAGTAGTTTAATAAATTATTTTATAATTATATAGCAACTATAAAATATTCAATTATATATGAACATTTATTTGTTCAACTATAGACATTAATTCTACAAACTTGTATAATATTCTCATCTTTAGTTGCTATATTTTTTTTTTAAGTGCGCATGAACAAAGTTTCAATCAGCTGTCGTACAAGAATTATTTTTTAATTTATCTATGGAGATATGAAAGAAAAAGAACGCAATAGATTTATCAATGGTACAGTATTATGAAGTAGAATAATAGGATGCGAAACGCGATATACCACTTAATTTGTTTTAATGAACGTATCAATTGAACAAATCACGCGACTTGTACGCCGATTGTACCGATTACAACGATGCCGGAGCGATCGAAAATCCGCGACGTAATAAAGGCCGGTGAATGCTCGGTGAATTAATGCGCTCGTCGCCACGTTCTTGTAACACGAGCACAAGGTCGAAAAATGTGATGCACGTTCGCCGGAAAGCGGTCTGGGTCAAACCAGTGCAGCGAGCTGGTTTGAAAAGGATCGCCGATCTGAAAGTGTGATTAGTTGGCAGAAGATAATCAGACCGTATCGAGAGATGCGGTCTTGGCAAAATAATACAATGTCTCTTTTAACTTACGAATTATAATTTCGAATCTAAAAAGAAGAAACACGAACAAACGTTTCACATTTTAATTTTTACACGCATTCTTTTTTCTTCTCTAACACATCGTCTTATATTTTATTTTTCCCATGTTACATTTATTTCGAATTAAAAAAAAAATAATTAAGCTGCTCTATGTCTTAAGCAAAGGATAAATTATAATGATGCGAATAAAGCAGAATTGCAATCTCAACTTATATCAAATTGATAAATTTGAAGTATCTCTTCCTTTTTTTGTTCTTACGTATCGATTTTTCATTAAAAATTTCACGATGATTAATAATTAACGGAAATTTGTATTAATAAATGGTACGAAGAAATAAGGCACTCTATTAATCAATTTTATCATAGAGCTATGCTTTTCTCATAATTTCATACACTTATGCTTCTCTTCTTATATTTTTTAAGATATAAGCATTTCCTCGATTATTTTATTTAAGATACACATAGCAATAGAGATAGATAGCGAAAAACACAAAATAAATTTGATAGTAGAATTTTATAGTCGTCGTTAGTCGATTATGTTAAATCTATTTTGTATATTCTCCTACCGATAGCCGATCGTCTTCTACGATAGTCATAGCTAGGCAATATTATAGTTTATAAACACGTTTTATCGCTCAGGGGAATTAGAATTTTAAACGCTGATTCATTTAAAATGGTTTGTATATTCGCATCTCTCACATCGGCGAAGATAATCGCCCTTAGTATTCGCAATCATTCTACTCTGTCGCCGTTGAACGCAATGGCGTAATCGCCATAATCGATATCTTAATATATTCATTCAATTATTGAATGAATTATTGAATGATTAAGAATTATTGAAGAATTAAATTACATAAGCAACAAACATATGTATATTTATTATAAAAAGAATACTTAAAAATTTATTTGTAAAAAATTGTTCATTGAAATAAATCTTTATTTAAATACAGCGAAATAAAATTTTATTCCTAACAAATAAATTGTTTATTTTAATTTTTATAGTTAATGAGATACATCTCATAGAAATATGTATTTTGCTATCAAATTTTTTTATAATCAATTAATATAGAAAAAAACGTAACACATTTAACACGTAATACATTTAATTACGAATATTTTTTTTCTCATAATTTTTTTTCTCAGTATTTTATTATATAAAAATTTACACTAATTATATAAATTGTATTTGTGTTATTAATTTACATTTATATGTTAAATTAGATTTTTCTACAGTATTTTTTACAGTATAAAGATACTTGGAAACTATTCAAGAAATTTTTTTTACATTTTCTTTTAAACATCCTATTATTTTACTTTGTAATTCTCATCATTAAGAATTCTCATCAGTAAACGTATACTGAAAAAAAAAGTGATTAAACCGACAAAAATAATTTGATGAAAACTTCTGTTCAGTCTTACCAAAATGCCATTCTTATTGGACCTCTTTTTTTATTTAGGACATTTATTTAGGTGATCAGAACATTTTTCTCATATAGGTATATTAAATGCAGCAGTGCACGTGACTGCTATGCCCGGTTTGATCCCAGGCAGAACCGCAAAATTTTTCGAACACTCGTAGCTCCTCTTGACAGGCAGTGGCAAACCACCGGGAGAAACTTTGCCGAAAGAACTCTAACAAAATTCATCATTCGGAATCGGCGTTGTTAAACAGTTCTTAAGACATAGTTCAGTATATGCTATGTTGAAGCTTACCTACACAATACTATCACTGAGTACATTAGAAGAATACATCGCAACGCAGCTGATGTACCAAATAATGGATTACCTCCACGATGATTATGATTGACATGATATTGTCAATATAATAAAAATGTGTTGTCTACATTCTTTGGAGTGAAGTACGTCTTACTCTAAAGACTGAAAATTAGACCAGTCTTAGAAAAAAAGAATGGTTTAATTTTTTTTAAGAATGACATTTCATTTCAGAACGATATTCACTCTTATGCCCATTTCCATCAACGTAGATTAATTTTAATCTCGGTGATGATGGAAACGGGCATAAAAGTTTTGAGCAATTGAAAAGAGAGCAATTAAAATCTACAACAAAGATATGTGCGATAACTCTTAAGACCCGTATTCTTTCTTTTCTTTTTTCTCTTCTTTCTATACTATTCTTCCTCCTTTTTTGACATCACAGACACGCTGATATTTGCACTTTGACCCACGGTCGTTGATTACGCCACGGTATCGTATCTAACATACAACAAATCGCAATATACGTAACCCTGCC